ATATGAATTTTAGAATGAATTTTAAGATATATATATATATCTTCAGAAAATGCTGTTATGTTTTGGTAGGAACTGTCTTGCCTCTCTAGGTTGCTCTGGGTTTTGTCAAAACCCAATTTACTGCATCTTCAACCCATGACCGACGATGACTCTCCTTTACGGCTGCTGTCTTTTATCTCCTTCAGCAACTTTTGTAGTTTTCATTCTGTATGGCCTTGGTGTGTGTCTGCGCATGCATGTTCCCATGTGTTTGCAGGCACATGCATCTGTGTGTGCATGGGTGGAGACTGGAGGTTGACACGGGGTGTCTTCCTCTGTTTCCCACCTTATTTTTTGAGATAAAGTCTCCTTCTGATCCTGGAGCTCGCCATTTCAGCTAGATTAGCCAGACTGAGTGGCTAAGAAGCCCCTAGAATCCACTTCCTGTCTCAGTCCTTCTAGCGCTGTGTGCTGCTCTGCCTAGGCTTAATACATGTTAATCTTTTTTATTCATGTGTATGGATATTCTGCTTGTCTGTCTGTCTGTCTGTGCACCACGACCATGCAATGCCCTTTGAGGCCAGATGGGTGTCAGATCCTCTTGGACTGCAGTTACTACAGATGGTTGTTAGCTGCCATGTGGGATGCTGTGAATTGAACTGGGGTCATCTGGGCATCGGCCACTTCACCACGGAGCCACCTCTCCAGCTCCGCCATGCCCAGCTTTTTCCGTGGCTGACGGGCGCCTGAGGCCACAGCATGAGCAGTACAAGCCATCTCCCCAGCTTCCCTTGTTTAAGTTTACTCTGGCTTTCTTTTTGGATGTCACCGTAAGTGGACTGGTTTTATTTTCTCCTTTGGATTGTCTGTTGTTATAGCAACACAACTGACTTTTGTGTTGATTTCATATCCTGTCACTCTGCTAAGGTTAATAGTTCTCTTACTGGCCTGATTTAAAAATCAAATTAGTCACCAGCTTTAAACCTGTTTGCATGAAAATCTGCCTGCCCACCCTTCCATTGTGGGGATTGAACCTATAGCCTCGTGCTTAGTTAACTGCACCCGGGCCTGGGCCTGCCTTTTTGTTTCTATCATTGGACGATGTGGCTCCTCTGGGCTGGCATTCCCACATGGCCACGAAGTCATGTGGTAGTTCTGGTCTTTAGTGGAGTGTACGTCCATCAGCCCACCTCAGCCCAGTACTGCCCCTCTGGCCAACTTCACCACCCACCGTGGTGTTTGAGGGCACTCCTGCATTCATCACTCGTCCCATGCGTTTACTAAGAACCAGCCTCGTGCGCGACATGAGGGATGCAGGTCCTAGGGTCACCACAGATCTCTTATGCTAGCCCAGGGTGCGAGCATCCCTCATCGCCAATTCCCAAATGTTTCAAAAGTTCAAAACCACGTTTCAACACAGTGCCACAACTCTGACAGCTAAGCCCAAACAAAGTTTATTTCATGTCCCAAAATGTTATTAAAAATACAGAAAATTAGCCTCAGGTTATGTGTATAAGGTACATATGACACATAGGTAAGCCAGCTGCCTAGACCTGGGCTCCATGCCCAAGATGTCCCGTTGTCTATATGCAGAGTCTGAACTACAGAGAATTTCTGGTCCTAAGCATTTTGGATGCCAGATTCCACTACAGACTGTTTATAGCATGACACGGCGTCGTGTGCCGGGCCTTGGCGAACATGGTGATAGACTCCCATATTTAGCCTCCAAGGCCTTGATGTAGTTGCCTCAGTGTGGCTAGGGGAGGGGAAAGACAGGAAAAGGTGAAGGGACTTCTCCATGGCTACTCTCATGAGCTAAGGTCTAGTTGGGTTTGACATACTGTGTTCTCAAATGCTACTCCTGTCCCTCAGGGCTGGAGGACTGAGGGGGCGACTTGGCACTGGATACAGCTATGCCAACCAGGCCAGCCTCCTTTCTGGGGGAGCAAAATGGGCCGGGTGGTTGTGTGTGTGGGATTACTGCCTTGATCCCCCAGCGCTCCAGGTGATATGCCAATTCAGCCAGGCTCTATAGTTAGTACCCTCAGCAGAGGCTCCTTTTTTTTTTTTTTTTTTGCCTGCAATAGCTGCTGACCGTGCTGCCCGGGCATGGTGGGAGGTATAGAGGTAATCACTGGGTTGGGAGCAGACAGCTGAGAAAATGCAGACCTGAGCGGGCGCACCACCTCTACACAGCTGCTTCTGCCAAGGTAAATGTAGGCTTGTATCAGGTTAGTAGACAGACAGGCCCCAGTCACTCTGCCCCCTGCCTTAGTTTCTCTAGCTTCAGTGGTTCTGAATCTCCCTAAAGGTGTGACCCTGTAATACAGTTTCTGATGTCATGATGAGCCCCCCAACCATTAAAAGACACTTTTACTGCTGCTTCATAACTGTTAATTTTGCTACTGTTATGAATCGTAATGTAAATATTTTTGGAGATAGAGGTTTGCCAAAGGAGTTGCTACCCACAGGTTTGAGAATCTCTTTGCCAGCTGATAATCTCAGGTGGGAGAGGGATGTTGTCCAAGGCCACGCGGGTGTCCCCTTCAGCTCTGCTAGAATCCGAGTTCTCTGACTCAGGAGTTATGCACACTGCCCTCTGCTGTTGAATCACACTAAGCATCTGCCATGTGCTTGGCCCCGTCCGTGTTCCTCTGTATCCCAACCCTCCTAGGCCCACAGCCACGGGTCAGCCGAGTGAGTTGGGGAGGCACAGGCATGCAGCGTGTGGTACCTTGGTTTTCACTCTTCCTGTGCCTGTCTTCCATCCAGCTCTCTGGGCATTCCATTTGTTTTGGACATTTGCCTGCTCTCCCAGACTCAACATGCTTGTTCTGCCCTCACGCACTCTGGAAGCAGAGCCTCCCTCCAAGTGCAGGCAGGGACCTTCTCCTGACAGCAGGCTCTACCTGCCCTGGCCCAGGTGCAGCTGGTCCCCAGGAGCCATGAAAGGAGTTAGTGGGTTGTGCCTGACAGGGAAAATGGATACCCCCAACAGGGTGTCCTTTCAGACGGCAGAGAAGGTCTCTGTTTCCTGAGATGAGCTCACAGGTATCGGGGTCTGATATCTCAGACCAAGCTGGTCTTTTGTGGTCCCTCCCTCCTTGCCAACAAGTCTTCCTTCCCAAAACATCCATGTCCTGTGTCCCCTTGTTGGTCTCAGCAGAGCCAACAGCACTTGAGTTCCCATTGTGATGCAAGAAGGAGCCAGGTTGTAGACAGGCCAGAGGTCCTGTCTCCCAAGAAGCCTTGCCAGCCCACGTTCCCTACAGCAGGGCTGAGAGCCCAGCCTCAGCCAGCACTGGAAACAGCCAAGGTCAGAAGTTCAGCCTTAGGAGTGGTGAGGCGATGTGGAGAGGTAGGAAGTAGATCCTCTTATTTTAGGACGGTTGAAATGCAAGAGAAGTCCGTATACCAAAAGCCTGATTGAAAATCATGTAGAATCCACCATCTGTGCTTCTGCAGCCTGGAGGCCTGCCCCTCCTCATTATCCACACAGGTTCTTCTTGATAAGATGCTGGGAGCTGCTGAGGAGCAGGCTGCACAGGGCGGGGCAGTTGTGGATGCTACACACCAAGTCCAATCTGGGCTTGTCAGGGGCAGAAAGCCATAGATCTGGGATACATAGCTGCGAAGTGGCACTTCAGACTTCAAACTTTGCCCCCAGGACACCAGTGAGCAAGTACTGGCTTTACAGTCTCCTTGCCGACAAATACTGCACTTGACCTCGATGCCCCCCTAGTGCAGTGGTAGGACTTCAGGCCAACTTGATTTATGGCTGCCCAACTCTGCTTGGGGCTAAAGGGCACATGTACAAGCACACACAGTCTGTTTGTCTGTCTGTCTGTCTGTCTGTCTGTCTCTCTCTCTCTCTCTCTCATTTTCACTCATGATAAATTTCATGGCACTGGGTCTGAGTTCCCTTCAGACCGTGGCCCATGGAGACCCCATTGTAGATGCTTCTTTGGGTGATCTTTAGGCATCCAGTTTGGTTTGTGTGTTGGGTGGGGGTATAGTCAGCCTTATCTGCCTTGTGAGTGTAGGCAGTATTCCCCTTTACCTCGTTTAGTATCAGAACCCAATACTTTTGTGGCCAGGATATATAAACCTCTGACTCTCAACCCACCTTCTCCAAAGAGACACAGTCAATCTAGAATATTCTCAGGGGAAACCCACCACGCTCTGGCAAATTCTGCTTTTAGGGCTCTTGTCTGTCAAGCCTGCTCCCTAAAGAAGGCTTCTGGGGCAGGCTAATGTGGCTCATGATCTGTGGTAGCCTGCTGGGGAGCAGTGACAAGGAAGGTCTAGGATTTTTACTCAAGGTGTTGTCACACAGAGGGCTTCCTGCACTGAATACGTTGTTTGCCTGTGTTCACTTCCACCTTGCTGGTCATGTCCCAGTTCTTGGGAAAGTGCTGGGCCTGGGCATGGCCCAGGGACTGTAACTGTTCATGTACCTTCAGAGTCCTCTTAAAGCAGGAGAGTACTAAACATGTTTAGCTGAGTGGTAGTGGCACATGCCTTTAATCCCAGCACTCAGGAGACAGAAGCAAGCAGATCTCTGAGTTTGAGGCCAGCCTGGTTTACAGATCCAGCTCCAGGACAGACAGGGCTATGCAGCGAAACCTTGTCTCAAGGGAGAAAATAAAATAAAATTAAAATAAAATAAAATAAAATAAAATAAAATAAAATAAAATAAAATAAAATAAAATAAAATAAAATAAAATGGTAGACCTAGGGCTTCAGAAGGGGCCAGTGCTAGTGAGGGGTCCTGAGTTTCCCAAGAGTACCTCTCCTCTTCTGCCTTCCTGCAGAATCATGGCTGGCACATTCTGGCACGGAGAGGGCACTGAAGGCCATTGAGAACAGGCTAGTTTACCAGAGTTCCTGGCATAGCCTGGTGCTTGAACATAGGGAAATCCGAGGTCCTGGGATCAGAGGGGCCATGCTGGCTATCGCCAGAGCTGGGCAAGAGGCTGGGTGTGGGCTGGTGGGGTAAGGACCTGGCTTTGTGCCCACAGGTGGAGACCCTGAAGGAAAAGCTCATTAGCCAGGCCCAGGAAGTGAGCCGACTGCGATCAGAACTGGTGAGGACCCCAGGACCTTCCTGAGGGGAGGGGTGGTGTCAAGCCGTGGTCACTCTTCCCACCTCAGGATGTGACTGGCTCTGAGTGCCCATGTCCTACCCAGGCTTATGCTGTCTTGCCTCAGACGTGTCACTTCACACCACAGAGCAGGGGGCTGGGTCTCATTTGCTGACGTAAAAGAGGAGTGTGAACTCTGTGCATAAATTTGACTTTGTGTGACTTTCACACTAAGGAAAATAGACTGAGAGGGGCTGGGGCAAGAGGGAGCTGCCCGCCTTTCTTTGCTGGCCTCCTTTCCTGCCTTTCTTTTGACTTCTTTCTGAGCCCTGGCCTCTTACTTTGGCTGCTTGCCCCTTTCTCTCCCTGCTTTCTCTTTTCCTCCGTTTTCATCTCTTGGTGCCGCCTCGCTCATGCCTCCTCTGGGCCCTGGCTCTCCACAGGGAGGCACCGACGTGGAGAAGCACCGGGACAGACTGATGGTGGAAAATGAGCAGCTAAGGCAAGAGCTGAGGCGCTGTGAGGTGGAGCTGGAGGAGCTCCGGGCTCAGCCGGTGGTGCCCTGCGAGGGTTGCCAGCACAGCCAGGTAGGCTGGAAGGCAGCCTCCACCCGGGGTCTGTGGGCTCAGCTTCTTTGGATGACCCTGTTCCCAACCGGCTGCCTTGACTACCCGCAGGAGAGCAGCCAGCTCCGTGACAAGCTGTCCCAGCTGCAGTTGGAAGTGGCTGAGAACAAAGGCATGCTGTCAGAACTGAACCTGGAGGTGCAGCAGAAAACTGACCGGCTGGCCGAGGTAGAGCTGCGGCTCAAGGACTGCCTGGCTGAGAAAGCACAGGAGGAGGAGCGGCTCAGCCGGCGCCTGCGTGACAGCCACGAGACTATCGCCAGTCTGAGGGCCCAGTCTCCCCCTGTTAAGGTGAGTGGCCAGATAGGCTGTACTGCCCTGAAGGAATCGTGGGCCCAGGGCAGGGCTTACCCCTAAAAGGGCCTTGTCTCACTGACAGCCAGTTGTGTGTAGGCAAAGGGCTCTTTCCAGTCATGTTCTTTAGTTGGTCCCTTCCTCACTCGCTGCCAGGCAGGCTCTGTGAAGGTGGCTCTTTATATGCCAGGCACAGGAGTACCTGCTGTTGTCTTTGTCCTTCTGGTCAGTTTGTGCCCAGCCTGGGCTCAGTCAGGCTTCCTGCAAGCTCCCCTTTTGGAAGATACTAGCAGGCCCTGCAGCAGTCTGCAGAACCAGAACCTTTCAGTTCCTAGAGGTCACTGGGATGACACTCTGTGGGTTAGCTACCTCTAACGATGCTCTGTCCTGTCCTTCCCTCTCTTTGCAGTATGTCATCAAGACAGTGGAGGTAGAGTCTTCTAAGACCAAGCAGGCCCTCAGCGAGTCCCAGACCCGGAACCAGCACCTGCAGGAGCAAGTGGCCATGCAGCGGCAGGTGCTTAAGGAGATGGAGCAGCAGCTGCAGAACTCCCATCAGCTGACAGTCCAGCTGCGGGCTCAGGTGTGCAGAACTCCCATCAGCTGACAGTCCAGCTGCGGGCTCAGGTGTGCAGAACTCCCATCAGCTGACAGTCCAGCTGTGGGCTCAGGTGTGCAGGCCACAACAGTGGTAGTGGGGACCCCACGGACATGGGGTTCAGTTTCTCTTTTCTCCTAACCATGGGGTTAATCTCTGTTTCTTCATCTATAACATGAGCTGGTTACAGAAGTCCCTTTATAGTGGGGACACAGGAAAATGATCTCAAGGGGCTGTCCCTGGCCACCCACAGATGTGCTCAGGTTCCAATCTGCTGAGCATATGTACCTTGGGGGCATGTGGCCTGCCACCTGTTATTTGCACAGACCAGTTGGAACTGGGGCTGATACAGGGAGGTGATGGCTACACAGACTCACAGCCCTGCGGGGAAAAGCAGGCCATTCCAGCCCTCTATACCAGCCGGCCATAACAGTCCATGCCCTCTTCTTGCACTTGCCTTTCCCTTTCTCACCCCCGCCCCACCCCACCCCCTTCGCTGAACCTTTTCCTGGCCTGGCCATCAGATTGCCATGTATGAGGCAGAGCTGGAGCGGGCACACGGGCAGATGCTGGAGGAGATGCAGTCCTTGGAGGAGGATAAGAACCGGGCCATTGAGGAGGCCTTTGCACGGGCCCAGGTGGAGATGAAGGCGGTACACGAGAACCTGGCAGGTGAGCCAGAAGCTGGCCCTGCCCATCCCCATGCCCCTGCCTCACAGCCCAGATACCTAACACCTTTGTCCCATTAGGTGTCAGAACTAACCTGTTGACGCTGCAGCCTGCACTGAGGACCCTCACCAATGACTACAATGGGCTCAAGCGGCAGGTGCGGGGTTTCCCCTTGCTGTTGCAGGAGGCTCTCAGGAGTGTCAAAGCTGAGGTAAGCAATTCCAATGGGAATTAGCTGGGAGAGGCCAGTCACCTTTACTCAGAGCCCCTTCTTGCCTTACTCCCCAAAGACACACAAACACAACACCTCTCATGGGCTCCCGTCTGTGCTGCAATACCCTTAGATCTATCATGGTTGCTTGTTTATTTGAGACAGGGCTTTGCTGCCTAGCACAGGCTGACCTCAATTCAGTATTTCCCTGCCTCAGCCTCCCCGAGTGTTGTAATTACTGGCATTGACACTGTGCCTGGCTTGCTCTGTTTATTTCCTTTCTTTCTTGATATGCTAGGGAAATGAGCCCAGGGCTTCACACCTGGTAGGTCAATACTCTACTGCCAAGCTTTGTCCCTGGGTGCTCATTTTGTCTTTTAAAGGCATCCTCACACTGTGTGAGACCTAGCCAATGACTCTTAAGTGTCTCCCATGTGGCCGAGCCTTTTATAGTCGCTGGCTTCTCAAGTTCATATGACAGCTCTGCAGAGATGGATATATTTGGGGAAAAGAAAATAGTTCTTGAAATAATTATGTCAGTCATACACAGATGTGGTAAAGAACCCAGGTCCTTCTGAGCATCCTCACTCTTGGGTTAGTGTCTATATCCCTGTACCCCATGGAGGAAACAGAATGTGTCCTTGTCCCTAGCTCCTCTGGAAAGGTTAGATTTGAGAGTAGCCGAATCATGCCGTAGCCAGGTACTCAGTCTCAGGCCTTTACTCATCCTTAGCCTGGAGATCTTTTTCTTCATCTATAAAATGAGGGCACTGGCTATACTGCCTCAGAGGGATTATTGGGAAAGGTCGGTCTGCTGTGTCAGGTACTTAGCCTGGGCTGCTGAGGGTAATAACACCATCAGGCCCAGTGAAGGGAAGCTGACAGAGCCAGGCTTCTGATGGCACTGTGCTGGCTCCCCAGATCGGCCAGGCCATTGAGGAGGTTAATAGCAACAACCAGGAGCTGTTGCGCAAGTACCGCCGGGAGCTACAGCTGCGCAAGAAATGTCACAACGAGCTGGTACGGCTGAAGGGTGAGTGTCTTCCACTGTGTGTCAGAGCTGCACTCGCTGCTGCTGCTGCTGATTTTGAGGCACAGAAAAATCAGGAAATTTGCTTAAAGAACACACACACCCCTAGTATATGGTCCACCTTGGATTTGAACTTGATCATCTTCAAAGCTCCTTGCCCGTGGTAGGTTCTGCGCAGGCCTGGGGGATGTGGTTGGGCACTGTGCCCTGGTGGCACTTGTTCCAGGTTTGGGTGTTGCTGATCTCTAGGTGCTCTAAGGAGCACCTGCTGTGTGCCAGCTACTGATGCAGACACTGGGGAATTAACTGTATTCCCAGACCTCGCCATGCTCATGGTGGCTGGGAGAAGGGACAAGTGATCATCACTCATCCAGAGAACCCCAGCAGTGTCCCGTTGCCAGGGCCGGGAGCACACATATAGCTGACCTTTTTGCCCATCTGGTACCCAAGTCCTGCTTAGCATTGCCCATGCCCCTCAGATTCATAGATAAATCCCTTGGTTCATGGAGTCCAAACTTCTCGAATAGATGAGGAAACTCAAGTCCACAGAGAGTGTTACCAAGATGGGCTGTACTGTTTAGCCACAAAGCAAAGCATCCTGACTTTGCTCAGGAAGTAACTGTAGTAAGTGAATTCATACAGTGATCTGAGTGACTGATACTACATTGGTCCCTGGTCTTTGCATAAAAGATGGGACTCCTTGGTCCCTAGTCTGCCTGAAATTGCAGCCTGGCATTGATCCACGCCATCTCTCCATCAACCAATCTAGGAAACATCCGGGTGATTGCCCGAGTCCGACCAGTCACCAAGGAGGATGGGGAAGGACCTGAGGCAACCAATGCTGTGACCTTTGACCCTGACGATGACTCTATCATCCACCTGCTGCACAAGGGCAAGCCTGTGTCCTTTGAGCTGGACAAGGTCTTCTCCCCATGGGCTTCTCAGCAGGATGTGAGTGTGGCTTCATGAACAGGGTATTTGTAGGGACATGGAAAGAACGGCAGAGGAGAGGTTAGACACAAGGGACAGGGGTCAAGGCTAGGTGGGGAAAAATAACCTAAGAGTGGAGGATCATGAGTCATTCTTCTTCCACCTGGAAGGCCTTAGGGAGGGTGATCCACACAGAACCTGCCTTACCCAGGGACCTTAGCCTACCCACCCCATGGCCTCACTCATCTGCCAGTAGGCCTGGAGGCTGGCCTTCCCTGCCCTAAATTTCTTTCCTGTAACAGTCCCATGAAACTTCTAGAACCCTCCACTGTCCCTGACTCCTCAGTGCCAAGGCTGGGCAACATGAACGCTATGGGGGTCATGCAGGCCCAAGCCAGAGAATGTGTGGGGCACACACGCTCCTCTGCCTTGGTTTAGTCAGGCCTTCCCTGAGAATGAACAAGCTGGAATTGGGTCCTAGTCCCTGTGCTGGTGATAGTGGTTCTCATGGCTGGAGGATTAGCTGGAGGTGGTTCATGCTGGAACTGTGGGGCCCCACATGCCAGCAGCACTGAAACCCCTGGTCCCTGCCCCATGTCTTCCCAGGTGTTCCAGGAGGTGCAGGCCCTCATTACCTCCTGCATCGATGGCTTCAATGTCTGTATCTTTGCTTACGGCCAGACAGGTGCCGGCAAGACATATACAATGGAGGTAGGTGTTTGCCCAGTGGGGAGGGACTTAGGGGCCTAGCTTCCTTCCGTGAAATTTGGGTTTGTACAGTGTATGCTTTGTCTTAGTCTCATAACCACCCTGTGCTGCTGTCCCTTGCACTGGCTCCAAGCCTTCAAAGCAGTAAGTTCTTCCCGGAGCCTGCTCCATAGGCTTGCTTGTCTCAGGAGGTCGGGGCAGACTGTCAGAGGACTCTCAGCCTAGGTCAGAGGCCAGGCCTCCTTCCTTGCATATATTCCCTGAGCTTTTCTGTGGCTGCCTCAGACTATGCTCAAGGATTCCCAGGATATTGGAATGAATGAGGAATGGTATCAGCCCCCAGGGAGGCCCTGAGCCATGGGAGAGACTGGCTACCTACATGACTATAGTTGTGGGAAGCTGGGCTCTCGGAGAAGGGCTTTATCCAGGGCATGTGCCCAGAGCCAGCCTTGTAAGGATGGGGCACTTCGAGTAGAGTTTTGGCTTTCTGTTGTTTTGAGACATGGTCTCTATGTCGTCCTGGCTGTCCTCGAACTTGCTATGTTGGCCAGGCTGGCCTTGAACTCAGTGATCCACCTGCCTCTGAGTGCTTGGATTAAAGATGTCTATTAACACTCCCAGTCCAGAGTTGAAGAATTGACTACAGAGAGAAATAGAAAACTCGAGCCCCGTGGGGGTATTGCTTTGTTAGTTTTCTGACTCACTAGAGGCCGCTGTGGACTCCCTCAAATAGGATTGGGGGGAGGGGCTTGCACAAGAGAACTTGTCACTTCCTGCTGGTCAGTGCCCAGACACTTCCACTGGGCACCTGTCATGACCTCCCCCTAACCCTCATACCCTCAGTTCTGGTTAGCAGGGCAGGGCAGATGAGCTAGAAATGGGTGGGCACAGTGGTTCCAGAGTACTTAGTTGTCTTGGGCTGTATAGAGTCCAATTGTCCATCCTCTGAGCAGTCTGCTGAGGAATGAAGGACCTGCTCTGACAGAACAGCCTGCTAGGGTCCCATCTGGCAGTTGGAGTGGCAGTGAGCACTATACATCAGCAGGTTCCAGGGACAGCAGCAAAGGCAGAGTGAGGCTCCAGCAGGGATGGGGTACCTGAGGCATGAGGGAAACCTCTGTGGAGCTGCTGCAGGAGAGCCTATGACAGGCAGGCCTGCAGGGCCTTGGAGTGTGCCTGGCAGTCAGCATATGTGAAGCAGATCTAACACAGGAATGTGGTGAGGGAGGTGCCTTCAAATCAGAGGGAAGGTGTCTAGGGTCCCCCCAGGTGGGCTCCAGATTTCTGAAAGGTGGCCATTTCATCCAGCCTCAAGTACTTCACCCACAGAGCCTGGCTTCCAGCCTCTCTGACAGGGAGCCTCCCAGGGGCAATGGATGGCTCTTTGTTCAACTTCCCCTTCCAAGAGGTCCAGTAGACCATAAGCCCTGGTGCTCCGCAGGGGTAGTCTGTCAAGCCCTTCACCCCACAGAACGCCTTTCATGCTCACTAACTTCCTGGCAGGGAAATGCTACCTTCAACGTAGGAAGCTATTCTGAGACGTAGGAGGGTATTCTGAGAACAGACCAGCAGAACCTCACCTGTAGGGGTACCTGAGGGCATGGGGTGACAGATGTTGTGTGAACATCTGTGGGGCCACTGGTCCTTTACTTTTGCCAACAGGGGACCCCCGAGAACCCAGGCATTAATCAGCGGGCCCTGCAACTGCTCTTCTCGGAGGTGCAGGAGAAGTCTTCTGACTGGCAGTACAACATCACCGTCAGTGCAGCTGAGATTTACAACGAAGTCCTCAGGTGGGTCTGGGCCGGAGCTCAGCAGTGCTGGTAGTGAGGCGTTCTGGTCTCCAAGTCTAAGTTCTAGATAAGGCTGGGAAGAGGATCTGCCCAAATTTAGGAGGTAGGTCCTCCTCCCCTGTCTGGGAATCCTTTCCATGCTGTGGGCTGCACTGTACTCGGTAGGGATGGGGCCCTACCCAGTCAGAGGCTGTTGTTCCTCAGGACTTCTGTGGAAGTCTGTTACCCCTTTTCTGAGTGCAGGGGAGAAACAGGATGAGGAGGAGGGGCCAGCAGCCCTGTGGTCCCAGATGGGTGCAGTGGCAGATTCCAGGCTAGGGATTGGGTGCGAGGCAAACAGAAGCCAGAGCGGGAGGGGAGAAGTAATGTCTCGCTCGCTGCTCCAGGGACCTGCTGGGGAAAGAGCCTCAGGAGAAGTTGGAGATCCGACTGTGCCCAGATGGCAGTGGGCAGCTCTATGTGCCAGGGCTGACTGAGTTCCAGGTGCAGAGCGTGGATGACATCAACAAGGTAAGGAGTCCTGGGGAGGTACTGGAGGCCCCGCCTACCAACAGCTGCTCTGCCGGACAGAATTGGGCTCCAGGTGGGCTTGGCTACCACCTGACTATGCATCGTGAGTCCCCAGGCCTCTCCAAGCCTGTCTTCTCATCTGAAAGGCAAGGCAGGTATAGGAGCACCCCTGTAAAGCTAAGACAGAAGGATTGTGAATCTGAAACCAGGCTGACTACCTAGAAAGACCCTTTCTCAAAATTTTTCCTGTGACCGGGTGTACACAGCTTGTCAGCACTTGAGCAGAGGAAGGGGATCTCTGTGAGATCAGTCTGCTCTACATAGGGAGTTCCAGGTCAGACAAAGCTACAGAGTGAGACCTAATCCCAAAACAAAAAATTAAGAATATAGCAAGATGTGATGCTGTACACCCTTTTATCCCAGGCAAGGCAAAGGCAGGCAGATCTCTGAGCTAGAGGGCAGCTTGGTGTACACAGTATGACCTTGCCTCTGTCTAAAACCAAACAACAATAACCACCCCAAAGACACTTGAGTATCCAGGTAAAACACACAGGGTGGCATTGCCTGTCCCAAGGGAGCCCCCTGCCTCTGTCCCCAGGTGTTTGAGTTTGGCTACAACAACCGCACCACCGAGTTCACCAACCTGAATGAGCATAGCTCACGCTCCCACGCTCTGCTCATTGTGACAGTGAGAGGGGTGGACTGCAGCACTGGCCTCCGCACCACGGGTGAGATGCACAGTGGCCATTGGTCAAGCCCTCCACCAGTATCCTTGGGGCAGTGCTGACCTGCTTTTTGCCCTGCCTGCAGGGAAGCTGAACCTGGTGGACCTGGCTGGCTCAGAGCGTGTGGGCAAGTCAGGGGCTGAAGGCAACCGCCTGCGAGAGGCACAGCACATCAACAGGTCACTGTCCGCCCTGGGGGACGTCATTGCTGCCCTGCGTTCTCGACAGGGCCATGTGCCCTTCCGCAATTCCAAACTCACCTACCTGCTGCAGGACTCACTCAGTGGTGACAGCAAGACCCTCATGGTGGTACAGGTGAGGGTGAGGCTCAGGAAGGACCTCCCCAGGCTGTTGGCTCCCCCACCCCCACACAGACCCCCACCAACACCCTCATGTAGTACACAGTCCCTCCCCATGTTCATTGCCCAGTGGGCTCCCCCGACCAGAAGCACCCTCTGGTGATTACGCTGCTACCTCCGTGGGGCAGCCAGTTGCCATGGGTTGGACCTGAGCGCTCTGTCCCCTAGGTGTCCCCAGTGGAGAAGAACACCAGTGAGACTCTGTACTCCCTCAAGTTTGCTGAGAGAGTTCGCTCTGTGGAGTTGGGCCCTGGGTCCCGCCGCACAGAGCTGGGTTCCTGGTCAAGCCAGGAGCATCTGGAGGTACTGGGGGTTTGCAGGGGAGGAAGGGGAGCAGCTTCTGTGAGCGTGACTCAGGCTGGTACTGAGAAGGGAAGGGGCAGACAGGCTGGTATAGTGAGAGTGGAAGCTGCCACAAAGGTGGGTGAGACGAGAAGTCATTGGTGCTTTTGTTTTCTGAAGACAGGGTCTCGCTATGTAGCACTGACTGGCCTAAAACTTGCTTGGAGACCAGGCTGGCCTCAAAACTCAGGAGATCTGACTGCTAAGATTAAGGGTGTATGGCACTACCAGTGACCTGTTTGGCCATCTTTGTCTTGAGGGCCAGCAGTTGCTCATGGTAGATGCATTTTAAATTGTAGATAATTTGTAATTCCTGTCCTGTGACTTTTCAAGGCAGCAGTGTCATTAGTTCCTCTGTAGATGAGCAAACACTGTCAGGAAAGAAGGGAGACAGTGGATGGAGATGAGGCAGGGCAGCCTTGACTTCCACACCCACTGCCATCTCTACACACAGTGGGAGCCAGCTTGCCAGACACCGCAGCCTCAAGCACGATCCCACTCTGCCCCTGGCTCCGGGACCAGTAGCCGCCCAGGCTCCATCCGAAGGAAACTGCAGCCGTCAGGTAGGCCTGTCTGGGAGTGCACTGGAGGGGAGGGGAGGAGGGAGCCAGGTTGTCTCCTAGCTAAGGAGAAGCTGTTTTATACAAAGGGAGGAAACAGCCTAGGAGCCAGGCCTAGCGGCTTCAACCTGTAATCTCAAGTACTTGGGAGGCTGACACAAAGAGGATTGGAGGTTTGAGGCCAGGCTGGTCAATACAGTCTCCAAACAGAATCTGAAAAAGAAGGTATTTGGCCACGATAGTTTGTGCCTTTTGCTGCTAGCATTTGGGAGGCAGAGGCAGGAGGAGCAAGTTCTGGGCTAGCATGGTTTACACAGCAAGTTCCAGGCCAGTGAAAGGTATATAGTGAGACTGTACCCCACAAAGGGAAGCTGCTTGCTGAGCATATGGGAGCCCCGAGTTCCATCTCAATTCTGTAAAACTGTGTTTAGAACTAGTGTCCTTCCCTTGCCCACTGTGGGCAGGGGTCGGAAAGCAGAACTGTTTTACTAAGTCCCTGGAAAGGGTGACAAAGGACCTGGCCCTAGAAGCTCCTAGTATGTGCTACTGACTTGAGGCCCACATTGTGTGTATAGGAGCCCTCATCTCCCGATTTTACCTACCTCCCACAAAGCAGTCTAGACATCCCCAGTGGAAAAGGGTGCCTCGCCATAGGGTGTGACCTGAGATTCCTGCCTCTTCCCTTGGGGGCCTGGCCGCTCACTGGGTCCAGGGGGAGGGTGGCAGCTGGGCCAATCCCCACCTCCTCCCCAAGTGAGATGTCTATCACTCTGATTTCAGCCTGACAGCTGGGGCTGCAGTCTCCAGGTAAGTGGGGGTCAGCGGCCTGGGGCTGCCCGCCTGTTGCCCGCTGTCGGTTCAGGGCTCTGCCAGTCCTCTTGTATAGAGCGGGTCCTGTTGTCTGCTGCCTGTGCTGTCCATGTGCTTCGGCTGGCCTCGTGCTCTGCATCTGCAGTGGGCATGCCTCCTGAAGCAAGAGGCTGAGCGCTTCTGTTCTACTTTTTCAGGGAAATTGAGGCCAGTGCCTGTGTGAGGATGTGCCACTCTTACAGGCCTGGACCTGGGCCTGGCTACCTGCTCTAACACCCACCATGAATGCAAGAGATGGAGGCTCTTCCGCCCTGCCTCTCCTCAGAGATGAGAAACATGTTCAGAAGGAAGCAAGTCTTTGTGTGGCTCTGGGCACCCAAGCATGGGGCTTCTGGAAGGGCAGGGATGGCACTCTGCCTGGTGGTAGGCCAAGGGCATGGGAGTCTAGCCCTTGTGTGGGAGGGTGGCCCTCCCTCCCCGCCTGGCCCTTGGGCCGGGTGTTCTCTACTAGTGGAGAAGGCTTGAGGAGCCAGCTGGGGGTCAGGGGAGAGCAAGAGCATCTCTATCTACCCTCCTGAGGAGGGGAGCCCTCACGGGGCATGTATATAATGTTCCTAGGTGTATATACAAGTCCTCACCCTGACAAGGGTCTGGGCTATATTTATGGCTGGCAGAGGCTAGTGTGGAAGGGCTGGGTCCTGCTCATCTGCCTGACACCAGACACTCTCCCTGCCCACTGACTCTCAACATGGTCCTCTCCCCGAATCCTATTTAAGAACTTTTGGAAGCTTAGCCATTTTTACTTATTAAAATGAATGTCTTTTTACACAAGCATAATCTGAATCGTTGGTACTGGGCGTCCCTGTGGATAGACCATGCAGAGTGGACACTGCATATTCTGTGGCTCCCCGGTGCTGGCTGACCATGCAGACTCCAGATGTTACCACTGTCTCCCATGCCATGAAGCACCCCGTGTGCCTATAACCATCCCATCCCCTCACAGTATCACTTCATGTTACAGAAGAAAAAACTAAGGCTTCAAAGACCTGTCAGGTTTGCCAGCTGCCCTGCTCATCCTGCACTGGCTTTTCCTCCAAGTCTATGGAATTGTAACTAGCAATGACCCCATTCCCTACAAGTGCGTTTGTGCCTGGTCCCAGCCCTGGAGAACAGGGCCTACAAGGGCTCCTCCCTTCTTGCATCAACAACCTGTTCTGAAGGGCAGACTCTCAGGGATGCCAGCAAGCACAGAGGTAGTTTCTCATGGGCTGTGAAAACCATTCTAGAGTCTTCCAAGGTCATGTAACTATTGTGGTCTAGTTTCTGATGGCATCCAGAGGTCAGAGGGAGGGTGATGACAGGCTCTTAGCCAACCTACCCAAGGACAATTGGGAGTGTGGCAAAGACATCTATGGCCTCATCTGTTCTGCTTCCCCTTCTCCAAGTGAAGCTGACCAGGCAGCCCTTTGCTTCGTGCCTGGCACTCTGCTGTCCCCTGCTGGCCACAGCTGGAGGCTGCACTAGGGCTTAGAGTAGGACTGTCTCAGCTTCCAGAGACCTCTAGGCCTGGGAAAGCCAGTGGATATCTCTCTCACAAGGAAGTCAGGAACAGTTATAAATTTAATAAATCTGCCTGATAATTTACAGCAGCAGCTCCGAGGCTGGAGTTGCCCTGAGAAGCAAGGGCTGTGCAAGTCTGCAGCTGCTGCCAGAGAGGAGCTTGAGTCCACAGCTGAGGAGGAGGTCAGTAGGCTGGCAGCCATGCCTCCAAGATGGCCAGCAGGGCAAGAGTGGAGGCCAGGCTGAGGCTCATGGGCCATGGGCATACAGCAGACTAGAGTGTGAGGCCAAACCAGTGAGGGCTGCTGGCGCTCCCACCATGAGCTCCTCAGTCCAGACTGGCCATGAGTAGGTGCAGCTCACGGAAGGCACTGCCGTGGCGGCCACTCAAACCCGATTTGCTCTTGATGAGCCCACTGATGCTCTTGAGTTGTTTGAAGCAGAGTCGACACTTGTGCAACCTGTAAGCCAAGAGGCAGCACCTCAGGCTGAAGGCCGCCCTACCTGGCCACATGCCTGCCAGGCCTGGGGCTGTTGCTCTCCTAACCACTCCAGTTCCTCCTAAGAGCACAAAAAATATCCCCCTCCCCCAAGCCATGGCAATGTTCAAGGACCCAAAAGGCCCATGCTCTGCCACACAGCAGCCCGTGCCTCTCTCAGACACTGTTCTCTGTAAGCTGTTTGGACACAGCCACCCACAAATGAGGCTAAGAACCTCACTGTACCCCTTACCTCTCCTCTCGGCTGATGTCCACACCCACAGAGGGCGGGGCTGCCAAAATGTCAGTGATGAGGGGTAGGAACCGCTGCAGGATCAGTTTCAGGGAGGTGCACCCAGTCTGGACATAGCTTCAAGGGCGAGATGGGTGGGGTCACACAAAGGCGGTCACAGAGCCAGAGACAGGACAGCAAGAGAGGGAGGGAGCCTCCACAGATGGGGCACACACGTGTACACACACACACACACCCTTTCCGCTCTGGCTCCAGGGTATGGAGGGGCTCCCTACCTCTCATACTTGCTCTGCAGGAGTTTCTCAATCTGGGGCAGCACTGTGGTGCACAGGTCCAGCTTCCACAGGGAACTAGAAAGACAGCTGGGTATGATGCCATCAGCTGGCCTTGACCACCCCGCTCTCCTCCTCCTTGAGGCCACTTACGCTTTTTGGTTGACAATGTTCAGGAGGTCCACTACCACAGACAGATCATTGATGGCTACTGCGGAGTCCACTGATGTCTGCAGACAAGCTCCATTAAGAGGGTAGCATGGGATGGGAGTGGGCAGGGTTGGAAACATGTAGACAGACCGTGCCAACAAGGAGGGCAAGGCGCAGCCTGACATCAGTGCCCAACTAATGGAAGCTGGCTGCTAGAACACCACAAGGCTGCCCTACCCCAGGGCACTACTGTGTGGCTTCTGTTCAGCCTGAAGCCTAAGAAGTGACCCTCACCTTGATATCTCCTGTGGTCCACACAGCCCGTACAGTGTCCAGGTTCTTGTGGCGGCTGGTGAGCACCACACACATGGTGTCATGTCCTTTGCGTATCTGTGACATGGCATCCTCATCCACCAGCTCTGCCTGCTGGGGGACCTTCACGGCCTATGGGGATAGTACCCAGATGCTGGCACAGGAGCAGATGGCACATTCATTTTCTTTCAGCCCTCAGCCCCACCTCTTGGGCAGGTCCCACTCACAGGCAAGAAGTCCGAGGCCTTTAGGCCAATGGGCTCATTCCGAGTGGCAGGGATGATGACAGGTTCACCCTTGGGTGCAGGAATGGAAGTCGTGACTGACGGTCGTGCTGGGACCTCGAGCTGCAGGGAACAGAGGCTGAGCTAGCACCAGCTGAGCATCCCTCAGCTCCCGACAGGAAGGTCCCCACCCTGGCACAGACCCATAGGATGCCCTCTCTGCTCAGACATACATTTGGCACCGGCAGCTGAACATCCATGGCTGGGCTGGGTTTTGAGGCCTCTTTTGCTGTGGCTGTGTCTAGGAGTAAAAAGAAAGGCTCAGTGCCAGCCTAGAGGACCTGGTGGGAAGAGGTCAGCGGACAGGATGGGATTCCATGACAACTGTGATTGGGAAGAAGCAGGTACCAGCTTCTTCAGACAGGGGATCAGGGAGGTGGCAGCCCATCAGCAGGTGAGGGTCCTGAAAAGCTGAGGCAAGAGCCTCAGCTGATGATTCTGACTTCTCCCCACCCCAGCTCTTCTCTCCCTCTGCTCACCAGCCCTTGCCCTCTCAGAGCCCCGATCACCCCATGTCTGTAGTAGACCAGTCCTCAGTAGCATACACCCCAGGGACATGTTTCTCTAAGCATTCAGGTGTGGGCTACAAAGAAGCACCTACCTGCCTTGCTTGCATTGCCTCCAGGGCCGTCCCTGGGGTCAGGTACATGGTCAGTTCTTTTAGGAGGAAGAGGGACAAAACCTAACTGGGTAGGCCAGGGAGGCAAGGCGTGGTCCTTAAGAGGCTAGCACTCCCCAACTCACCATCTTCTGGGGGTGCTGGGAAGGGCTCACTTCTCCGGGGCGGCGTCCGACCTGCCAAGGCAAAGGGGGCTGATTACTTGGGTTCCCATAAGCTCCCTGAGAATAGGCCCTGTATGTAGCCGAGGTCTTAAGATAAGACACATGGCTAGAAAAGTGGTCCCCCAAGCTCATGGCCCTGTGAACCCATATGCACCTATAGGCTCTGCTAAGAGCAGGGCAGAGGGTTGGGCAGGAGCCACCAGTGAGTGGTGCTAGACCTCTGCCTAATGCAAGAATGTGGAAGGCAGGTCAGGTTTAGGGGACACAGCCACAGCAAGGTGCCAGGCTGCAAGGTGGAGAGGGTATGGCCTCACTGATGCTGTTCTTGGGCTGGAAGATCTCATTGTAGTCCTCTGCATTCTGGATCTCAGCCCGAGACTCACGCTCGTCCCTGTCATCTTCGCTGCTGGGGCTGCGCCGCTCGCTCTCTGAGTTGTGCTTTACCCTGGTGGGTGCAGAGCCAAACAAAAACAGGCCAGGATTCTCAATGAGGCCAAGGGCTGAGTGTTCAGGAGCCTTCTTGGGACATGCACCCTGCCAGGGCCATTAGCACCCACCTCTGAGGCTTGCTGCAGGTCGTGCTAGGCCGCTCGTAGATGCGTCGGAGGGAGACACCAGGGTTAGGGGTCTGTTGTGTCAGTGGCTGGCTAGCCTGCACAGGGTCCTGGGTCACAGTTCCTGTCCTGGTGACTCTCGTCAGGTCCACCACATAAGAGGAGACATTACTCTGGGAGAAGGCCACACCTATCTGCGGGACACAGCAGAGTTGGTGTGGAGTGGGACCAGGTCCCGGGAGGCTCCTTAGACGGGAGCATGAGGGGGAGGGTGGGTGGTGGGTGACTTGACCCTCACCAGCTGGTCATTGCAGATGGCCAGGTCAGCCACCTTGCCCCAGTTGACAAGGACCACATCAAAGCAGCGCTCGGGCTCCCAGCCGTAGACACGCAGTGAGTCCTGGCAGCCGCTGTACAAGCAGCAGCCATCGGGGTTGAAGAGGACACTCCTAGGCCAGGTGAGAGTTGGCTGTCAGTCCTAGGGCACCTAGCTGGTACCCGACACCAAGAAAGCAGGTGAGCCCAGGACAGAGAAGCAGGAGCAGAGGCAGGGAAGAGCACCCATACCAACATCCCACGACCTTACTACGGGACAGCGGGCCACGTGCTCTGCCTACCTGACAGGCCCTGGTTCCCCTTCAATGCAGCTCACCACCTGGAACTTCTCCAGGTCCCAGAAGCGGATTGTCCTGCAAAGATGGCCACAGGAAGCCAGTCCCTCATGCTATCCAGGGCCTCTCCAGAGCCCTCCCTGTAAGGGCACTAGGAGTGATGTCTGGGGCAGGGATGGCCCTGTGCATGCAGAAAGGAGGGTGAAGATGACCTAGGCTGTGCCCAACAGCCCTGTCCCAAAGCTAGCCTCAATTGCCAGGGGTCTCCCCTGCACTGTGCCCCACAAGGAAGTGTGGATCCTAACAGGTCAGGACACGAGTCAGGGAGGGATGGGACCAGGAAACAATCCTGGCTTATATTTAGTATACATAGGCTTTCAGGTGTATGAAAGGATACCTCCTCACCTGTCAGAGCTGCCAGAAGCTAGGAGATATTCATTGGGGTGAAACTCCACTACGTTGACAGGCCCTGTATGACCTGGGAACTCGGACATCATCTTGCCAGCCGTCAGATCCCAAAGCTAGACAAAAGGTGGAAAGAGTTGGGGGGGGGGGCTAGCTGCCTGAGAGGGG